ACTTTAACAATGACAAAATAGACATTCCATTTAGGAAAGTTACCAAATAGTTTACAGGCGTGGAGCATGAAAGTGAGAGTCTCCTTGTCCGGCTCCCTTGCGGTAAACTGTTGCGTGGTCATGGACGGCCGTGTTTCTGTGCACTCACGTGCACTTCTATTGATGCCGTTGAAAAATGGGCAAGGTGGGATCCTGTACAGTCGCAGAGTCCAGTTATGGGGTCCTCAGCCCAGATGCTGCAGGAAGGGCCACCACCCCAAGCCGATGGGATGGGCCTCTCCTGCCTGCTCCTTCCTGTGGCCTTCTGGGCTGTGATGGGCGGGGTGTGGGTGGGATACAGTCACTGGAGGACTGAGGCCCCCGAGAGGGCAAGGAGCCTTGGGGGACGCATAGTGTGAAAATTCCTGGACTGGCCAGGGTCAGGTGGGAGGCACAGTCCGGTGGCTGCCTGGGACACATGGACTGGGACCCCAGCCTCCCTGGGCAGGTGACCGCCCCGAGCATCTGTCCCTTACCTGTCCATAGTAACGGTGAGTGCCGAGGCTCCCCGGGGTGCAGCCATGGACTGGTGTCCAGCACAGAGCTCAGCACCCTGGCCTCCTGTTAGGCTTGCCAGTCCGTCTTGGGCAGAAGGGGGTGGTGCTGAGACCCTAGGCTGGCTCTCTGCTGCCTCCTGGAATCCCAGGCAGGCAGCCTCCCTAGCGCTGGGGTGGCTCTCCCTTCAGGCTGGACACGGGGTGGCCTTGCTTTGAGTGGGATCTGGCGCGGGCTGTGAGAGTTAGGGGAGTATTTGAGCATGGCTGCCCATAGCGCCTCCTGCCCACAGCCCCTGCTGCTTCTGAGGTGGGAGAGGCTGGTGGCTCAGGAAGACGCCGTCTCTGTCACCAAGGATGTTGGGGCCCAACTCACCAAGGTCACCACCCTTGGTGGTGGAGCTCAAGGTTCCTGGGTGCCTGGGGAGCCCACCTTTTCTTCCATGTTTTATAGCAAAGTTGTGCTTTGAAAATATAATACATTTTTAAATTTTTTATAATTTATTTTTTAAACTTACATCCATGTTAATTAGCATATAGTGCAACAATGATTTCAGGAGTAGATTCCTTAATGCCCCTTACCCATTTAGCCCCTCCCTCCTCCCACAACCCCTCCAGCATTTAGCCCCTCCCTCCTTCCACAACCCCTCCAGCAACCCTCTGTTCTCCATATTAAGAGTCTCTTATGTTTTGTCCCCCCCTCCCTGTTTGTATATTAATTTTGCCTCTCTTCCCTTATATTCATCTCTGTTGTATCTTAAATTCCTCATATGGGTGAAGTCATATGATACTTGTCTTTCTCTGACTAATTTCACTTAGCATAATACCCTCTAGTTGTATCTACATAGTTGCAAATGGCAAGATTTTATTCTTTTTGATTGCCGAGTAATACTCTATTGTATATCTATATCACTTCTTTTTTATCCATTCATCTGTCAATGGACATCTGGGCTCTTCCCATACTTTGGCTAATGTTGATAGCACTGCTATAAACATGGGGGTGAGGTGCGCCCCTTGGAAACAGCACACCTGTATCCCTTGGATAAATACCTAGTACTGCAACTGCTGGGTCATAGGGTAGTTCTATTTTTAACTTTTTGAGGAATCTCCATACTGTTTTCCAGTGTGGCTGCACCAGTCTGCATGCCCCCCAGCAGTGCAAAAGAGATCCTCTTTCTTTGCATCTTGGCCAATAGCTGTTGTTGCCTGAATTGTTAATGTTAGCCATTCTGACAGGTGTGAGGTGGAATCTCAGTGTGGTTTTGATTTGTATTTCCCTGATAATGAGTGATGTTGAGCATCTTTTCCTGTGTCAGTTGGCCATTTGGATGTCTTCTTTGGAGAAGTGTCTATTCATGTCTTTTGCCCATTTCTTCATTGGATTATTTGTTTTTTGGGTGTTGAGTTTGATAAGTTCTTTATAGGTGTTGGATACTAACCCTTTATCCGACATGCCATTTACAAATATCTTCTCCCATTCTGTCAGTTGTCTTTTAGTTCTGCTGTTTCCTTCTCTGTGCAGAAGCTTTTTATTGTGATGAGGTCCCAATAGTGCATTTTTGCTTTTGTTTCTCTTGCCTCTGGAGACATGTTGCGTAAGAAGTTCCTGTGGCCGAGGTCAAAGAGGTTCTTGCCTTCTTTCTCCTGGAGGATTTTGATGGCTTCCTGTCTTACATTTAGGTCTTTCATCCATTTTGAGTTTATTTCTGTGTATGTTGTAAGAAAGTGGTCCAGATTCATTCTTCTGCATGTCGCTGTCCAGTTTTCCCAGCACCGTTTGCTGAAGAGACTGTCTTTATTCCATTGGATATTCTTTCCTGCTTTGTCAAAGATTAGTTGGCCATACGTTTGTGGGTCCATTTCTGGGTTTTCTATTCTGTTCCATTGATCTGAGTGTCTGTTTTTGTGCCAGTACCGTACTGTCTTGATGATCATAGCTTTGTAATACAGCTTGGAATCTGGGATTGTGATGCCTCCAGCTTTGGTTTTTCTTTTTCAAGATTGCTTTGGCAATTCGAGGTCTTTTCTGGTTCCATATAAATCTCAGGATTGTTTGTTCTAGCTCTGTGAAGAATGCTGGTGTTATTTTGATAGAGATTGCTGGGGAGCCCACCTTTGTTATTCTATCCCACAAATGGTTAATGGGCTAGGCTCTGGCTAGGCAATAGAGCACGAAAGCAAATGATCAGTCCTGCAGTCAGCAGTCTAGGGATTAACCCATGGAGGCTTCCTGGAGGTGGTGACACCTGGGCTGGACTTGGGACTCTTATGATTTCCGCAGTTCTTCCTGGAGAGTACTTCATTATCTGAAAAGTGAAGGGGTTGCCCAAGTCAGTGGCTCTCTGACTGACTTGAGAAGCCTCAGAAACCCCTCAAGGGCCATACCTGAGTTTCTGCCATGGCACGGCCTGAGGATGTGCATTCTAACATGTTGAGGGCAGCGTCCTGTGAGTCTGAAACCCCATCTCCAAGTGAGGCAGCTGAGCCTGGGGACTACAGACATCTCAACCCCCGGGGCCCTTCCTTGAGTTCTTACTTGAGAGTAAGAATTTTTGTGCAAATTCTAATTCTTCAGGTGTGTGGCAGGGAAGCCAGTGCTGTTTGGGCCGAGTGCCCCTTTTCTCTCCTGTGAAGCACGGCTGATGTGCTGTGAGGTGGAAGTCAGGTCTGCTTGTGTAGACTTGGGGGGCAGTGGCCTGGGGCCTTCTCATTGGCAGTAAAATAATTGTGGCTACCATTTCTCTGCACAGTGGGGAAACTGAGGCCACAGTGGCTCAGAAGCTTGCCCCAGTTTGAGTCAGAAAGCAGGCTAGGGCTGGGAGCAGCGGCAAGGTGAGCCCCCAGGGCTGCGGGAGCCTGAGGAGAGAATGTGTACTTTCCGCTCCGCTAAGCGCAGGAAGGAGCCTCCGCCTCTAGGGAGGCACGGGGTGGGTGGGTGGCTGGGGGGGGGCAGGGGGGACAGGTGCAGGGGTAGAGGTGCCTACTCACCAGTGCCCGCTCCTGGACTCCAGCCTGGACCTGCCTGCCCGCTGAGAGGGGAGAGGGTGGCACCAGTCAAGCCACAGGAGGGAGAGCACAGTCATGGGCACTAGCCTTGGGGCCTCAGGCTGGCCGATGCGCCTCCCTCCGGTCCCCGTGCAGCACCTCCCAGGTGCTGCCAGCTGCCCTGGGCAACGGGAAACCGAGGCCCAGGAGGGCTGCAGACTCTCCTAGCGCTCATGAGGACTTCCACTAAGCGGCTCTGCTGCAGGGAGAGGTGGGCCCCTCAGCCTCCCGGTCATAACAGGCCAGGCCACTGTGTGCAGCCCTAGCTGTGGGACCACTGAGCACCCCTGAGACTGCTGTCAGACATGTACATCTAAAGGGTATTTCATATTTAGCATGTCCGAAATCAAGTTCCAGATCTTTCGCCAAACCCCACCCTCGTTCTTCCCCAGACTGGTCAATTACTCAGGCCTGAGACCATTTTTCGCAGCCTTCAGAGTTGACCCTGCTCCCCTCCTCTGCTACCACCTGACCTGAGCAATCCCTCCCTGGGTTATGGCAAAGCCCTCCAATTGATTTTCAGATCCTTCACTTGCTGGGTCTCCACATAGCTGAAATAGTGACATTCACGCGGAGTCAGGTCATTCTTGTGATCAGAGCCTCCATGCCTCCGGTCTCAGAGGAATAGCACCTGGCCCACACTGTGCATGGTCTGGCGTGTTACTTAGACCACTCTCCCTGCTCCTTCCCTCCACACACACTGGCCTCAGGACCATGGTACCTGATGTCTCTTATACCTAGAGTGTTCCTTTCTTTTTTTTTTTTTTTTTTTTTTTTTTTTTTTTTTTTTTTTTTTTTTTTTTTTAAATTTTTTTTAATGTTTTACTTATATCTAGGAGAGAGAGAGAGAGACAGCGTGAGCAGGGGAAGGTCAGAGAGAGAGGGAGTCACAGACTGAAACAGGCTCCAGGCTCTGAGCTGGCAGTCAGCACAGAGCCCGATGCGGGGCTCGAACCCACGAAGCGCGAGATCATGACCTAAGCGAAAGTCGGACGCTTAACCGACTAAGCCACCCAGGCGCCCCAAGAGTGTTCCTTTCTTATTCCAAGCAGCTGCATGACTGACACCATCAGTCTATTGCAATGCCATCTTGACCACCCTGAAATGCTCAGGGTTCTCCTCTTCTGGGCATTGTTTTTCCCCATAGTTTCTCTTCTTCCACTGGGATGTGACCCGAGGAGGCAGGGTTCTGTGTGTTCAGGTTCTAGAAACGAGGCCTGGTATGCGTGGAGCAGGTGTTGAAGAAATATTTATCACTCAGTGGCTGTAGGGCTGCTTAGGAATTTGTCTACCCACCTGAGCTGACATTTAATGCCCACCCTTGGGTAGGGAGCCCCTCCTGGCCCTGCCGGGACTCTCACTGTGCACTTGCACTTGGGCTGCAGGTGACCAGGCCTGTGATGCCTCTTTCTTCTCTCCCAGGAAACTATGCCCCAGACGTCTGTCGTCTTCTCCAGCATTCTTGGGCCCAGCTGTAGCGGACAGGTGCTGCCTGGCATGGGGGAGCGAGGAAGCGGGGCCGGCAGCTCTGGGGACCTCGTCTTCCAAGAGGGACGCCTCATCTCTGGGTCCCTGGAGGCTTTGATGGAGCACCTGGTCCCCACAGTGGACTATTACCCGGATGTAAGTGCCTGGGGCCTGGAGATGGGTGGGACTGATCAGGGCCACCTTGGTTCCAGGGGGGAAGGGAGCCCCAGACAGAGCTGGACAGAGCAGTAGGGGAGGGGCAGCCCATCAGGGAGCCTCAGCCCTACCTCCTGCTCTGCCCTACTGCCCCTGCGGTGGAGGGGAACCTGCAGTGACACCCCTGCTGACCCCAGGCAGCTGGGAGACAGCCTTGGTGGCATAAGGAAGCAGATACACAAGGGGGTAGAACAGGGGCCTGAGCTCTGGACAGGGTCTAACCGAAGAAGAGTCTAAGGGGTAGGGCTGGAGCCTTGGGGTCCTGGTGAGGGTCCACCCAGCATGTGTCCTGTCCCTGAGCTGGGAAGTTTGTTTTGTGCATGACACGCCATGGTCCAGAATAAAGAGGGGACAGCCCTGCCATGCCCAGCCAGCATGCAGACCCCAGGCACAGGCCCGCATAGGCGGGACTGGCCTTCTGCAACAATTCAGATCCTCTTCATTTCAAGATGCCACTGCTACATTCTTAGAACAGACAGAAAGAGTTCCCTTGTCATGTGTGGCTTCCCTTTTGCCTATGAGAGGTGACATCTCTGAGCAGCAGTGGTATTGGGCCTGCCTGCTCCCTTTGGAGAGCCAAGCTGCGACAGCCCCCTTTCAGGGCCCCCCCTCCCTCCTGAGGGCAGCACTGTGCTTGCTGGCCTTGGCCTCTGACATGGGTTGGCAAGGGAGGGTCAGGAAGGAATCGCCCCCCTCCACTCTCTAGCTTTTATCTAATGGGATGGAGCCAACTCAGCTTCTGGGTGTTCGTGTTCCTGGCACTGCCACCCTCCCCCCTCCGCCCCGCCCCAACATGTCAGGCCTCCTACCTTCCTCCTGGAGCTGTCTAGCCCGTGCTACTTGAAAACCCTCCCAAAGCTGGGCTGGGGCTGGTACTGGTGGTGCAGACACTGCAGCTAAAGGTCAGGTGTCCTGAAGAAGCCTCCCAGGGCCCAGCACCTCCAACCTCCACTGCTCTGTGGCCTTGTGGGAGGAGCTATTCCTCTTCTAGGTCTGACCCGAGGGACCTCCTCAGTTGTTACCAGTATTATCTCCCAAACACTATGCCCCGGGATCACCCCCTGCTTTCCGGAAGAGAGTAAAGGGGTGGTAGTGCAGAGGGAGGGCCGGCAGAGTCCAGCTGGGCCTCAGCTTCTCTGCCAAGCTCCTGGGTTCCCTCCCTCCCCCCCACTGCTCCCCTCCCCCATGTATGTGGGCAGCTGGGGTTGCACGCATACCAGTGAGTCTCTGTGCTCCTGGGAAATGCACAGCTCCTCCCTGGGTGCTCTCCTTGCCTGGGCTAGGAACGCCAAAGTGTGATGCCTGGGTGACTTTCATCACACGTCTGAGCCATCTGCCTAGAAGGGTCCACCAACCAGCTGGGATCCCTGAGCACCCATGCTGTACAGCCTGGGGACAGGGCATGGGGAGTCTGGGGGGGGGGGCACAGGGAGGGAGGGGTTTAGAGGAACCTCTGCTGTTCCCAGGAGAATCTCAGGTGGCTTCTGAAGGCTGCAGGGAGGCAGTGAGGGCCCGAGGCCTTGAGGTCTGTTCTGTAAGGCCTCTGCTCCCAGCAAACATGGCCCACTTGCTTTGGGCTGGAGCAAGGAAGACCTGCTCCTCTGGGCCCAGAGTGAGGGCAGAGGGTCCCAGCACCCCCCTCCCCTCCCCCCCAGCCTACAGCAGCCATGTAGGGGTAGAGTCCCCAGGAGAGCTTCAGGCAGCTGCCCCCCTCCTAGGTCCAACCTGTCTGCAGGCAGGGGCGTGTGAAGATCTCACAGGTGCTGACCCATGTCAGACCAAAGGCTTCAGAGAAGCCCTGGCCTCTGTTCCCTGACACCTTTTAGTCCAGATCTTGAGGGCCTTTCAGAAACTGTACCACAGAGCCCAGGGACAAGGGCACATGGATGTGGGGCAGAGGGGACCTGGTATGGCGGGTGGACGTAAGGCCTAGAGCTGGTTATTAGCACAGGGGCTTGTGACAATCCCTGATGCTGGGTGCTGGGTTCAAGAATGCCCCACTCTGCCCGCCACCAGCAAGGCAAGTGAAGATCTGGACAAGAAGGCTTGGAGACTGACCCTGGAAGCACTGCGGGCTGAGCAGGGGGCTCACGCAGGCTGGGAGCGTCTCCCCGACATTAGCTCCCACCGTGGGGGGGGACGGAGGAGAATTCCAGCAGAGCAAGCCTGCTGGGGGCTGAGCTTGTCAGGGGAAGCCTCCAGTTGCTGCGGGGATGTGGGGTTTGATCTGTGCCTTGCAAGGGAGGCAGGATTTGGGTGGCAGTGAGTGAAAAGGAAGGACATCCAAGGTGGGGTAAACCATGCAGGAGAAGGCATGGCTGCTGGATGGTGTTGTGGGGCCCGGGGAGTGGCTGGACAGGCTGTGACCATAGCTGGAGAGGGCCACACCAGCCCGACCTCCTCTTCATCCTCTCTCCCTGTCTCTTCTTCAGAGGACATACATCTTTACATTTCTCTTGAGCTCCCGGGTCTTCATTCCCCCTCATGACCTGCTGGCCCGCGTGGGGCAGATCTGCCTGGAGCAGAGGCAGCAGCTGGAGACCGGGTCTGAGAAGGTAAAGGTGCAGCCGGGTGCTGCCTATCTCTGTCCTTCTGGCAGGTCAGGTCTGGCTGAGCCCAGCAGGGGGCCCTCTGTGATCGGGCAGGTTGGCTTGTTTCTGGCCTTCCTGGCACCCTCGGGGCATGGATCCCTGTTTGGCACAGGGTGCACCCAGAGCCGAGTACTCTCCATGGGATGCTGGAAGTGACTGCTCTTGGTGGGCACTCGCACCCCTTTTCACGAAAGAGCCACAGCAGAGAGCTCTGCCAGCAACCCTGGTCAGGGCCGGGACCCCCAGCTGGTAGAAAAGCTGCCAGTGGGACCTGGGTCACTGACCCCTCTGGCGGGGGCGGGGGGTTAGGTGGCAGCAGTCTCAGGCTGACTCCTGCTCAGAGTGGTTTGCAGTGACTCAAATACGGCTCACTGCCCCTGCTGTCTCTTCATACTGAGCCAGGCTATGGGGAGCCAGGACAGCCGAGAAACCACAGGCTGTCCCCGGGGGCATGTGCTTCGGATGAGGCTTGCAGAAGCCCAGGGTCTGGTGCAGAAGACGGGGCGGTAGGTGTGCTGAGAGAGGGCTGGCAGAGCCTAGTCTGGGCTGTGGCAGCGCACGTCCCGTCCCTGCTGGCTGATGACTTTCCCCTCCACCTTCCCTCCACCAGGCTAGGCCACCTGCCCCTGCAGGTTTGCGGCACAGGCCTGGGAACGGAGTCTCCCTGTCAGAGGGGCGTGGGGATGCACTCCTGGAGTCCCTGGAAGCAGGAAGACAGGCACTGAGCACAGCCTGAGGGTTGGGAAAGGCTCCTGAAGAGACAGGTGGAAATAAGTCAAAGTGGGGTGGTGGTGGGTGGGGAGATGAAAGTATAGGCGGAAGGGCAGCATGGAGACATGCACCGCAGGGCCTCTGAGGGGATTCAAGTCCCTAGCTGCAGAAGAGTGTGGGGTGCTGTGGTCCTCTGGGGAAGCATCAGCAAGGCCCGCTGGATGCCGTCTGCACTGGGCTCTGGCTGGGAGGAGTGGCTACAGGGAGTGAGGGGCCAGCTGGGACAGGCTCCCTAAGGCATGGGAAGCCATCACTAGGGGACCAGCTGGGGACATGGCCAGAATCAGGCAGGTTGGAGGCAGCTCAGCAGGGCTGGGGGCGGATGTGGGGATGGAGAGTGGTGAGAGGCCCCCAGGGCAGCTGGACAGTCCAGGTTGGGCAGGTCCAGGCAGGCAGGGAGCTGGTCGGTGCTGAGGAGGAGCCGCGGTGGGCACAGGAGGGGTGTGGGCACTTCAGTGGGACAGTGTGGGGCTGGGCCCTGAAGACCAGCTGGGGTATTGCAGCCAAGCATTTGGGACATTCTGCTCAGGCCTCACCTGTGTGTGGACCCAGGGTGAAAGCAGGGGTGCCCAGCCCATCTGTAATGATAGGAGGTCCAGAGAGGGATGCCTCAGTGTCTGCACCCCTTCCCGGCACTTGCCAACCTGCTTTTAACTGAGAGGGGGCAGGCAAGAATCTCACTTAAAAAATTTTTTTTGGTTTATTTTTATTTATTTTTGAGAGACATACAGAGCAAGTCGGGGAGGGGCAGAGAGAGGGGGAGATAAAATTCCAAGCAGGCTCCGTGCTGCCAGCGCAGAGCCTGATGCAGGGCTTGAACCCACAAACTATGAGATCATGACCGAACCAAAATCAAGAGCTGGACGCCCAACCGAGCCACCCAGGAGCCCCGAGAGTCTCTCATTTTTAGCAATTTTCCTTGGTTTTCATTGTTGTTGTCATTTTAAGTGGGTTACTTCTAATTACAGCAAAGGAAAACTAGTTTTCTATGTCACGGTAATGAGAGGACAGGTGTTTTGAAAATAAGTGAAAAAGAGCTGACGAAAGGGGGCCTATGAAACTAAGCAGGTACGACACAGCCACAGGTGGACAGAGTGGGGGATGTCCCTCCCTAGCACCCTCGCCCCAGCATGGGGCTGGGGTGCAGGTCCTGCGGGGGATAGTGGGTGTGGGGGTGTTGCAGAGCTGGGGGAGATGGGGAAGCTTGTACCACTGGCCCTCCTGTGCCCACTCTGGACGGTGACCTTATGCCCTGCTGCCCCAGGCCAAGCTGAAGTCCTTCTCAGCCAAGATTGTGCAGCTGTTAAAGGAGTGGACGGAGGCCTTCCCCTATGACTTCCAGGATGAGAAGGCCATGGCTGAACTCAAGGCCATCACCCACCGGGTCACACAGTGTGACGAGGTGAGTCTTCCTTGGACCCTGGCAGGACCCCTTGGGTGTGTGTCTGGGGGAGGGTGTCTACTCTCACAGGAGGGTGGCTCTTCAGGGACAGCTGCTCTGTACGTGGTCCTCTATGTGGTCACCGTCCCAAGACAACTGCTGGATGGCTCCATTTGTGCCCCTCCTCACAAGACTCAGCTGTCCAGCAATGGGCCAGAATGAGCACAGGCCCCACCTCTCTCGTGCTTGGGGTGAGTGGAATGGGGACCTAGTAAGAAGTTTTAAGAGCCCGTCTGCATCTCTGGCTCCCATCCTGGCCTGCCGTAGAGACAGGAAACCTGGATGGCTGGGGCTCCACAATGGAAGTGCTCTCTGGCTGGAGGGCTCAGAAAGCCCAGGAGAGTTCCAGCAGGCGCCGGGGCTGCTTCCATCCAGGGAGGAAGGTTCCTGGTCCTGGAGGAAGCCCTTCCGAATGCTCTCTTCCCTGCTGTGGGGAAGCCAAAAGTAGTTCGGCTGGACACCGTTAGGAAAACCATGGTTTTCAGACCCAGCAGCCTACCCCTGGCCCTGCCCTGGCCCTCAGCTCCCAACCCCACGGGACAGCTGGCTGAGCACCCTCCTCACTAGTACTCAGAGGAGCCCACACTGTTCCATTCTGTCTTCCAAGGCCCAAACACTCATGGTAGGTTTGAGTAGGAATGTGCGCTCAAAGTTAGGCACATCCTTGGAGAGGAAATGGGTTTCTCTGGAGAGGGGGTGGTCTTGTCCTAACCTAACCTTTGTTGTCCCCTGATCCCCACAGGAGAATGGCACAGTGAAGAAGGCCATTGCCCAAATGACACAGAGCCTGCTGCTGTCGCTGGCTGCCCGGAGCCAGCTTCAGGAGCTGCGGGACAAGCTTCGCTCTCCAGCCATGGACAAAGGGTCTGTCCTCAAGGCTAAGCCGCCAGCCACTCAGAAGGACATCCTGGGCGTGTGCTGCGACCCCCTGGTGCTGGCCCAGCAGCTGACTCATATCGAGCTGGTCAGTTCCACAGTGTGCCCTGCCTGGCACGGGGGCGGGGGTGCATTCACCAAGGACCTCGAGGCCGCTGGCCGCCCCCAGCATCTTTCGCAGAATAGCGCTGCACTTGTCAGCTTCTGGGTCCCGGGATCACAGCAACCTCAAGTATTTGGGAGGGGCTGGGGTGAAGGGGACTGGCCCAGGAGGTGAAGGGCTTAGAGTGGGAGAGCCTGGTCCCCTACCCTGTCACCTCATTTTGCATATGCCCTGGGCTGGGAAGGTACCCTGCACCTAGCAGCCACTGCCCCCAAGACTTCCACCTCATTCCATGAAGCCCTGTTTTCTCCCCTCCCAGGGGAGGGCCTTTCCGACCCCTGGGGTGCCTTTCAGGGCCTGCCCCCTGGCTGGGTGCTCTGTAGTGTGCACCTGCAGGAAGGTCTTCTCTGCTACTCTAAACATGGCCTGCACCCTGAGTGTGGGGCCTGCCTGGAGTGGCAGGTTCATCACCCGTCTTGTGTTACCTCCTCGCCCATCCTAGGAGAGGGTCAGCAGCATTCACCCTGAGGACCTGATGCAGATCGTCAGCCACATGGACTCTCGGGACAAGCACCGGGTGAGGGGCTGCTGTGTGCTCTGGGGTGGCCTTAGGGTGGGCCTAGCACTTATACCTATGCAGGGTGGGGGGCCTCACAGCCAAATGATATGGGTCTGGCCTGGTGCCTGCTCCAAGGGGTCAGCAGACAGCTATGCAGGGTGATGCATACCGGAAGGGGGCCAGCGTTCCCAGGAGCCTGGGGACGGGGCATCCTGGGACCCCTGGACCTGTCCAGCTGCCCACACCCCACCATCACTTTCAGTCTCTTTTGGCCATGGTTCCTGCTCCTCATTTCTGGGGTTAGGGCTGGGGCAGCACCTCCTGGCCGTGTCCTCAGGTTCCCTGTGACCTGTTCTGTTTCCCCCAGTGCCGAGGGGACCTGACCAAGACCTACAGCCTGGAGGCCTATGACAACTGGTTCAATTGCCTTAGCATGCTAGTGGCCACTGAGGTGTGCCGGGTAAGTGCTGCATGGCCCATATGGGTGGGATGGCACTGTCCCTTCTCTGGACCCAGAGTGCTGCCTGAGGCTTTGACTTCTATACCCCTCAGATAATAATACTTTGAAAGTCGAGACAGAAGCCTCCATTGCTGGGTCACCAGCACCCTGCTCCCCCCTACCTCCTGGCCAATCTCACAGTAATTATGAGAGACGCCCATCCATGGAGTGCACCCAGCATGTTCTGGGAGTTTACCTGGGACCCCCTTAGTACTCTCAGACTGCCCTCTGCCCAGCGTCGAAGATGCCACAGCTGTATTCCTGCCTCTGCAGCCGGCGAGCATCTCCCCAGCCCCGGGTCTGACAGCTCTGAGGGCCCAGCGTAGCTCCTGTCTAGGCTGCTCTTCAGGGACTGCTCGGGGTGGGGGTGGGGGGTGCTCCTGTGGTGGGCTCACGCTGAGGCTGTTTGGCTGCTCTCCAGGTGGTGAAGAAGAAGCACCGGACCCGCATGCTAGAGTTCTTTATTGATGTGGCCCGGGAGTGCTTCAACATCGGGAATTTCAACTCCATGATGGCCATCATCTGTGAGTGGCCTGGCCCCAGGGGCTTCCTATCCAGCTTCTGCCTGGCCTACCTAACCCCACCCTGACTCTACTTGCTGTTCCCTGCAGCTGGCATGAACCTCAGTCCTGTGGCGAGGCTGAAGAAAACATGGTCCAAAGTCAAGACGGCCAAGTTTGACGTCTTGGAGGTAGGCACCTCAGCCTTGTCCTACATTGGCCTGAGGAGGGGTGGGCCTCCCATCACACTCTGCCCCCTTGCTCGGAACCCACTGCCCACAGTACCATCTGGTGTAGGCCATGTTGAGCTGGCCTGGCTGCTCTAGGAGGGCGGTAGCTGAAATGCTCCTTGGCCCTTGGGACTGTAGTCAGAACTGGCATTGCTTTAGGCAAGTTCTGGAGAGTGGTTATGAAAGAGCTTGATAAAAGTGGGCCCTGGGGTGTTGCTGGGGTGATGCTGACAAAGCAGAGACTGGCCTTTTACTGGCTTGAATTCCTGTGGTCCTGGATCATCTGGGCGGCCCAAGGGCAGGTAGGTTTACCTGCAGCCTTCCCTGAAGTTATTTGATCACAGAATCCACTTTCTGCAAATGTGTCTTATGGAGCTCGTCAGCTTAGGGAGATATTGGTCCAAGGAGAGGGGCAAAGGAAGGTTTTGAGAGGAAAGAAGTGAGACTCAGGCTCAGCAGGGCAGGGAAGAGGTGTATGGGAGCTGTGAGACCTCTCTGTAACTTTCCTCATGTTTGGATCCAAACCCAGTACTCAGCCAGGTGCTCACTCCCAGAAAGGAGGCCTCTTCTGGTGACAGTCCAGGGCTGCCCGGGGGGGGGGAAGTGCCTTCCCCACCACTGTTTCCTGCTCTGCAAAGGGGCATCCTGAGCAAGTCTGGGGTTCAGGGAGACCACTGCCAACCAGGTCCTCCTGTCTGCCCACAGCACCACATGGACCCATCCAGCAACTTCTGCAACTACCGCACTGCCCTGCAGGGGGCCACACAAAGGTCCCAGATGGCCAACAGCAGCAGAGAGAAGATCGTTATCCCTGTATTCAACCTTTTCGTTAAGGACATTTATTTCCTGCACAAAATCCATACCAACCACTTGCCCAATGGGCATGTTAACTTCAAGGTGAGCTCAACACTCTTGTGATCTGAGGGGAGGGGGGCCAGACTGTCCCAACACAGGGCAGGACAGGCCTCCCAGCGTTACCCTAGGGCAGGCAGAATCTGTGCCACTAGAGCAGCAAGGCAGTGGCCCTTTGCAGAAAGGCCTTTAGGACTGAAAGCTCCAGGGTGGGTTACGTGTGTTGTTTGCATAGTTTAAGTGTGGCTCCAACCCTTCTGGGCTTGGAGCCACAGGGAAGTCGTATTTACCCAGGACCTGGGTCCCAACACTGACCCCACCAGAGAGTAGAGAAGGGGCTACTTCTGGGGGTTTAGGAGTAAGAAAGGTTTTAGGCAATAAGGTACTCAAGCAGGGAGGAAGAGGCAGCAGAATTCCAGATGAAAGCCAAGGGTAGCTGGCCAATGGTGGGAAGGTAGGACAAAGGTGATTGGGGCCTGTGTAAGAATCCATAACTCCTTCCTACCCTTACCTGTGTGACGGAGTACTGGACAGCCCTGTTTCCCCTACAGCTCCCCAGAGAATGAGGTCATGACACGTTCAGGTTGGTGGTGCTGTGCTGGGTATGGCTGGCATACCTGCCTCAGCCTGGAGTCCCAGATGCGGCCCTCTGAGTCTTGCACGGGGGGAGGCACAGACCCTGCTGCAGCCTCAGGCTTAGGCAAAGTGCAGGATGGAGTGGTCTTGGGGACACTTACTGGCTCTAATGCTGCATGAAGTGTTGCTGTGGCCACAGTCAGCCCATCTTGCTGGGGTGCAGAATGAAACCAGAACCTACATCCCCTGAACAAACCAAGGATTTCAAGCATAAGGTGACAAATGAACATCCAGTTGGTCTTCTGTACCTTCAGAAATTTTGGGAAATCTCCAGACAGATCCATGAGTTCATGACATGGACTCAGGTAGAGTGTCCCTTCGAGAAGGACAAGAAGATTCAGAACTACCTGCTCACGGCACCCATCTACAGCGAGGAAGGTGAGGCCCAGTGCCCCAGGGCAGCACACCCACCTCCCCACACTGTACATGTCACCCTGATGCCCCCATGTCCTCTGCTTTCATTGGGGGGGGGTTACCCTGGGAGGCAGGCTTGATCACCGGGGGGAGCTGTGGGTAGAGGGGGCTCTGGAAGCCACCTGATAGTGCTGCAGAACCAGGAAACTTCTCAGTCCCAAAGATGGGAGCTCTAGAACCTCAGGGAGTAGAGACCTGTGGACAGGCCCAGTTGCACCCCTAGAAAGGAAGGGACAACTGGTATAGTAGGCAGACTCACTGCATGTGGACATGGGTTCTGAGGGGCTTGTCATCTCTTAGCTCTCTTCATCGCCTCCTTTGAAAGTGAAGGTCCTGAAAACCACATGGAGAAGGATAGCTGGAAGACTCTCAGGTAGGAGAACCCCAGGGACAGGCCTGCGAGCTCCTGAGACCATCCCCGTGCCCGAGTCTACCGGAAGGGACAGGACTGGGGAGCGTGATGGGTCTGCCCTTCTGAAAGGCGGCCGGGGGGGGGGGGGGTCTCTGCACAGGCTGCCAGTCGGTGGGAGGCTGAGGACTTGGGTCTGAGTGTCCCTGACCCTTCCCCTGATGGCTGGCTCTTTGAATCCAAGCCCTCCCCAAATAGTGTGGCCTGCCTTCTGCCTGCTCAGGGGAGGGGCCTGCCAACCACCTGACCATTTCTCTATGCCCTGCTTACCTTTAGGACGACTCTCCTTAACAGAGCCTGAAGGCGTGGATGCAGCCTGCAGACGCTGGATGAAGCACACACATGCACTGAGTTTTAATCCTGATTGATAAGGGTTGAGATGAGGAGGCCTCACTGGTTGGGGTCCATTTTGTATATAACTTTTATGGAAAAAAAGTAATTATTTCATGCATCAACCTTTGGCACTTACAAAGTTTTTTTTTTTGTTGTTTATTTTAAATAACAGGGCAGGGCCCTGCTTCGGGGAGGGTGGGGAAAGAGTATCATGGGAGATGGCATCCATGATAACATCTTATTCTAATGAAATGTAGATTTTTATTTTCTACTTTTGATTATTAACATCTTATGAAAAAATATTAAAAAAAAAAAAAACCCAACCAAAACCAATGTGAGCCCTGCCTGCTTGGGCGCCCTTCCAGCCAGTGTCTCTGATGTCGGGGTTAGTGCCTTAGAGAGTACTGGAGGGCCGGTCTCCCACTCCGTTCTTTTAGCCCTCAGCCAGCCAGTGCCAGGGAAATGCCAGGAGAGCTCTGACCTGGGCCACAAAGTACCTGCCCTCAAAGCCTAGGCCAGAGAGGTTCTAGCAAGAAGGGCTTGGCTGGCCAGGGGGCCTCATTTGCATACTTCTAGAAGCAAACCTTGAGTACAGGCTTTCCAAAGTTTACATTTTCATTTTCCTTTATCAGGGATTTAGGGGGTCGGGGAGGGGCAGGGGGATAACTGGCAGCATATTTTCTGTTGGAATATGTCTGGCAAATTGTTCTTCAACTACATTTTAGGAAAAGAGAAAATCTAAAATAAATGTGGGGGGGGGAGGGTGTGGTGGAATTGTCTGTTTCCCAGGCTGTAACTGAGAGGTACGCTGAGCTGTAGTGAAGAGAGAACAAGGTGGACTTGAGGACAGGGACATTTAAAGCAGTTCCTGAAACTAGTACAAAGTGAAAAGAAGCAACTCACAAATTGGTATTCTAGCGGACTGCCTCCTCTTTCCCTCTGGGTGGGGGGCGCCCCTGAAGAGATTCTGAAACAGAATATTAGCCAGACCAGACTGCTGGAGCCCACTCACAGAAAACTGCCCAGCAATGAGAGGTATTTTCCATACCCAAACTTGAAGAGTACACTCATTTTGTCTTTCTGGCTGTGGGAAGGCATGTCCTGATCCCTCAAAAGCCAGAGGTGGGCCATCCGCTCTGACTCTCTCCCCCTCACAGCAGGGCTTTCATTCTGCACAAGCAGGTTCGGAACTACTCACCCTTGTTTCTCTCCGCATGCCTGGCTTCCCAGGAGCCTGCAGCCGAGATGCCCGAGTGAGGATGGGTCCATTAGTTGCTAATTCCCAAAGCTCCTAGGAGATCCTGGAGATGTGGAGGTGAGGCCTCAGGAAGGGGTGGCTCCCCAATCCGATGCGGACGTTGCCCTCAGCCCTGGGTGGAGCAGGATTATTTACACTGTATTGTCACAGTGTTTTTGCACTTTTCAGATGTTCTAGATAGTACATAGCGTATCTTGGTAGACATATTGCTTTGTTTATGTATTTGGGATAAAGAAAGGCTAAAAACTTGAGAATCTATATTTGGAATACAACGTTAGCACACTTTCTTCTGTCTTGCGAGTTAAGGAGCTTTCATGTCAGTGTGCACTCCACTGGGTCATCAGTTCTAGTAGCTATCTGATACAGTGTCTATGTTTGCTACTTTATTTTCCCAATTTGAGACACACCCTATGATGTTTTGGTATTTTGAGATGAACTCTGAGTACAAAGCTGTACCATAACGCAGGATGTCAGTTGTTGGTGTGACTGGACGTACTTGCATCAATAAAAGAACATGTTGCTCCCCTTGCATGCCTGCTCTCTGCGTGTAGCTGGTGAGGCCTGATGGCACAGAGGTGTGAGGATGTCCAGGTCCTACAAGGCCCTTCAGAGAAGGAGCAAGGGACTCTCATCTACACAACACCTTCTGACAAAGGGCTTTTCAAATAAATAATGCAAAACAAGACAAAGTTGTATAAGAGGCGTGTTCTAGTCCTGCTCTCCTCAAAGTAAGATCCAAAACTGTTTCACTAGTTGATTCTATCACATGGTCATATACATTCAGGAAACCTAACTCATGTAAGACTGTAAATGCCCCTTTACTACAGGACTAATCAGAACGGTCAGTGACCATGGGCTCTGTGGGTCTCTCCTGGGACAGGGGAATTGGGGACACCTGCTGACATGTTTCTGTAGAACAGTTTGCAGAATGCAGTTCTAGATGGGGCTCTTTCTGTTGTGATGAGTCACCTTCAAAAGTACTAAAGTAAAGGGATTTGTTGGAAGGCACACAAGAGTTTGTGGAATTGAAGGAAAAGCATTGAGTCACTGGAATGGAAGCCAAACTCCCATCTGTGCCTCTCCAGCCTATCCCACTGCCACTCTGTCAACAATGCCCAGGCTGGATGAGATCTGTTCTATAGTTCACTGAACCTTACCCTGTTCCCTCAGAGCTAAGCTGGACTCATTTTTCAATGTATGCAGTGTCTGTCATGCCCACTGGACCAGCAGAGCCCAACAGAAAACTTTCTGTGATGGGAATGCTCTCTATTTGTATTGCTGCTAGTTACATCTATGTGCTGAGCACTGAGATGTGGCCAACACAACTGAGGAATGGAATTTCTAATTTTAGGTGTAAACAGCTAATGGCCACTGTACTGGACAGAAGGCTAGGCCTGTGGGGCTTTATCACCTGCTGTCCTAGTGGCTTGTGGACGGCACACAATAGGTGCTTAGGTGTTTGTAGAGCAAATGAGGACACCTATGAGGATGCACACTGAGTTTTGGGTAAACGACACTTTTTCAGTCTTTATAACTCAATGGAATTCTTAATGTCCTGGTAAAGTTATTTTTGAAGGTTTCTACCTACCTCAGCTGAAGAAGGGGCAGCACGTCCTTCGGTGTGTGCCTTGGCCGTGGAGCTTGAGCTGGATGTGGGTGGCGAGCTCTCTAGGCTGGCTGTGGTGCGCCTTCACGCACAGGGAAGTCCCTCTAGGGTGTGCTTCGCAAGGTGTGGCTCTTTGACAGCAGCATTAGCAGCATTGGACACTCGTTCAAACCGATCTCGGGGCCCCACTGCAGCCTCACTAAAGAGGAAAACATGGGAGTGGGGAGTCCAGCACGTTTGGGAAGCTCTTCTGCTGATCCTCACAGTCCACCTCTCCCAGGTAGAGCCCACTTCTTTGAGGTACACTCTGCTTCACAGACACACAGAACCTTCATGTCACTAGTGTACCTCCTCGAATGTACTGTGGTCCTGTCGTCACACACATTCTTCCAGAGTCTCCTTACAGCTTCTCTGGTGAGTGGTGCTCTGTGCTCCTCCAGGCCCCATCTGTTTTCTCACCTTACATCATCTGGCATCTGTCTCACTCACTAGTCTTGGCTTTCCGAGTAGGAGCCATTTGTGTAGCTGTGGCCAGGGACCAGCACGGTGTGCAGCTCCTAACACCAGATATGATGCCTGAACACTGCCTTTCACTTCACACACACATTTCAGGAACAAATCTATGTTATAGCATCATGTGACAGAAATAAGCTAAGGATCTCTCATAAGGCCATTGAGACTTCTGTGACAAAACTGAGATTATTTGTGAAACACACACCCATCACACCTGTATATAAAACAGATGTCCTGTTCCCCAGGGAGGCAAGACAGGATAAGTGTTAAGAGCAAGGAATCAAAGGTTAAACTATTTGGATTCGAATCCTAGTTTCCAGTTCTCAGCAGGGTATCCTTGGAAATGTTGTTTAGCTTTTAAAGCCTCTATTTTCTCATGATTAAGATAAATTTACAATATTTTCTGTCTCCTACAATACTCTCTGCCCCTTCTTTGAAGGGGTTGTTGTAATGTTACATGGCAGAAAGTGCAGTGCCTGGTTCATTAGTTATTAGTTCATCCAGTGTTAGCTGGATACTCCTGATGAAACTGAACCCCATTTCTCCCTCAGAGCAGAATCTCCTGGGAAAAGTGAAACAGAATTATAAATGACCTTTTCAAAGGAACAACTGAAGTTCTGGTTAATATAAATATATTCTAACATTACTAAAGAGTCACTTGTGTTAAATTTAACCAGTACATAAACATATATGGGAAAAACTGCCACAAATTGGGGAGGGATTCAGAACTACTTCCTAAGTGAAAAACCTATTACTCACATACAGGCTAGTGACCTTAGATCATACTAACACAATTTCTAGTTTTATTACCAGAAAGGACGTCCTGATACTATGAGGAAGGTGAAGGGCTACCACTCCCCTCTCCCCTAAATATCTATCCTAACATACCCCAAACTCTTAGGTATGAATCTTCAGCAACAATGTTGAAGAAACAGTGTTGTCAAGAATATAAGAAAATGTTGGAATTTTAAAATTCATTTTCATTTCTTAAAGAATGAATAGAGTTTCTTCTCCAAATTTGGTCATAATTCTGAAAAAATTACAAGTGTAATACTAGAAAATAGGAAATAGGTTAAGAGACATAAAGGGTATGGAGAATACAATAGGTCTAACATGTTATCACAGCTTTTGAGAGAAAGAATGAGGTAGAGACAATGAAATATAATAGCTGAAAATCTTTCAGAACTGATAAAAAATCATCATCTACGGAGCCCAAAGAATCTCAAGCAAGATCAGAAACAACACAACAACAACAACTTGCAGACACACATATCATAGTGATACAGAACAGGGATAAAGAGGAGAGATCCTAAAGGCAGCCAGGGAAAAAGGTTGATTACTTTCAAAGGAGTATCAACCTTAAGCTAATAACTAAGGAAATAGCTATAGCCAGAAGACAGTAGAATAACATCAATGTGCTAAAAAGCAAACCAAACAAACCCAACTTCTATAGAATTCTATACTCTTCAAAAAATATTTTTTAAATGAGATAAAGATATTTATGAACCAAAATGGAGTTTGCTATCAGCAGACCTTCACTGAAAGAAATGCTAAAGATTGACTCTTTTTAAAAAATTTTTAATTTTTTAAAATGTTTATTATTATTGAGATTCAGAAATACAGCATGAGTCAGGGAGGGGCAGAGAGAGAGGGAGACATAGAATCTGAAACAGGCTCTGGACTCTGAGTTGTCAGCACAGCCTGACGTGGGGCTCAAACCCACTAACCGTGAGATCATGACCTGAGCCAAAGTTGGGATGCTCAACCAACAGAGCCACCCAGGCACCTCTTAAGATGGACTCTTGACTCCCATACTATATACAAAAAATACTTCTAGATGCATCACAGATCTAAGTATGAAGGGCTCAACAAAGAGGAGAAGGGAAGTTATAGGCAATCTTACCCAATAAAGCATCTAAAAGAAAACGGGAAAATTCTTCCTTTACTTTGGAGCAGGCAAAGTTTCTTAAACTGGATACCAAAATCACTGGCCATAAAAGAAAGAAAAATGATAAAATGGACATTATTAAGAGCTTGTGTTTATTAACAGATAACATTAAGAGAATGAAAACAGTTCTCTGCGTAGGGGAAGATACTTGTAATACATAAAACTGACAAAAGACTCACATCCTGAATATAGAAGTGACTCCTACCAATTAAAAAAAAGGCAATTTAAAAATAGGCAAAAAAATTTTCTAGGCATTTCACAAAAGAAGATTTTCAAGTGGCCAATAAGCACATGAAAAGATATCATTTCCCTAGTAATAAACTAATCAAAAAGAGAACTGTACAATACTCAATAGAGATTAAAGAGTCTAAATTGAAAACACTGAAAATACTATGTTGGGACAATGTGACACAAGTGGATCCCTCACATGTGGCTGGCAGGAGTCAGTTATTTCAAAGAACTGAAAAAACTGGTCAGCCTCTGGCAAGGTTAATCAAGAAAAAACAAAAGGCACAACTATGATCAGGAATGAAAGAAAGGCGATCACTAGAGATCCTGTACATATTACAGAGATAATAAGAGGATATTGTAAACAACTTTGTGTATTTCATCTAGAATTTCAAATTTATCACTATAAATTCCTAGAAGAATTTCTAAGTTCTTCTAAGCCTTATCTAAAATAACATAATTAAAACTGACTTTAAAAGAAAGAGAAAATCTCGGGGTGTCTGGGTGGCTCAAGTCAGTTAAGCGTCCAACTTTGGTTCAGGTCCTGATCTCATGGTTTGTGGGTTCAAGCCTGCACCAGGAAGAGCCTGGAGCCCGTCTTCAGATTCTGTCTCTCCCTCTCTCTCTGACCCTCCCCTGTTCATGCTGTCTCTCTCTCTCTCAAGAATATTTAAAAAAAAAAAAAAAGAGAGAGAGAGAATCTGAATAGAGCTATAATCATTAAATACATTGAACCAGTGATCAGAAATCTTCCCATATAGGGGCGCCTGGGTGGCTTAGTCGGTTAAGTGTCCGACTTTCGCTTGGGTCATGATCTCGCGGTTCGTGGGTTCGAGCCCCGCGTCGGGCTCTGTGCTGACTGCCAGCTCAGAGCCTGGAGCCTGTTTCGGTCTGTGACTCTCTCTCTCTCTCTGACACTCTCCTGCTCACGTTCTCTCTCTCTCACTCCTAGAAATAAATAAAACATTAAAAAAAAAAAAAAAAAGAAATCTTCCCATATAGAAAATTTCATGGTCATTGGCATTCAGGTAGTTCTGCCAAATATTCAAAGAAATAATTCCAGTCTTACAAGTAAACTTTTTTAGAAGAGAGTAAGAAGGAAGACCTGTAACTTACTTTATAGGCTAGCATAACCTTGGGGCGCCTGGGTGGCTTAGTCAGTTAAGCGTCCGACTTTCGCTTAGGTCATGATCTCGCGGTTCGTGGGTTCGAGCCCCGCGTCGGGCTCTGTGCTGACTGCCAGCTCAGAGCCCGGAGCCTGTTTCAGTCTGTGACTCCCTCTCTCTCTGACCCTCCCCTGCTCATGTTGTCTCTCTCTCTCTCCTAGAAATAAATAAAACATTAAAAAAAAAAAAATTTATAGGCTAGCATAACCTTAATAAAAACTCATGAACACAGATGAAAAACACCTGAAATATATATACACATAAACACCCATACACATATACAGATATGCAAATGAAGCATGTGTGTGTGCGTGCACGCGCACATGCACAATAAACTGAATCCTGCAAAGCATAAGGATAATACATCATGAATGATTGGAGTTTACCCTAGGAATGCAAGAGTACTTCAGAAAACTGATTAACTCAAGTTAACATATCAAAGATGGAAAAAAAACCCATGATCATCTCAACAGATGCCGTAACATAAAGTAACTTTGTTAACTTGATAAAAGGCATTTATAAAAACACCTTCAGCAAATACCATACTTACTGATGAAACACTGAGTGTTTCCCTTGAAATCAGAAATATGGGCAGGAAGTCCACTATTATCACCTCCAGTCAACACCGCACAACAAATCCCAACAAGCACAGTAAGACATGGAAAATAAAGATATAAAAATTGAGAAGAAAATGTTTACTCTTCATAGAGATATTATTGCATAACAAAAAAATGTGAAAGAAACTAGAAATACAAGGCTGGCAAGGTTGCTGAACACAAAAATCAACTGGATTTCTAAACACCAACAATAGACAATAAAAAAAGAAAAAACATAGTTACAATGGCATAAAAAATGCAAAGTACCTAGGAAAAATCTGTAAAATACTACATGTAAATCCCATGTGAAAAAGTATAAAATTTAACTGAAAGACAATAAAGACCTAAATAAATATGTCATGTTCAAGGATTGGAAGACTCTGTACCATAAAGATGTAAAATTTCCCTAAAGTGATCTTATAGATTCAATGAAATTCTAATCAAATTCATGAAAATTAACTAGTTTATTCTCAAATTTATCTGAAAGCACTAGGGCTGCAAATAGCCATGACAGTTGTTAAGAACAAGGCAAGTGAACTGGCTCTCAGAAATATTGACTTCTTATAAAATTATAGTAATTTAGACCATGATGTAAGGGTATGGTGATGGACAGAAAGCCTAATTGAACAGAGAGAGCCCAGAATAAGACCTCTGCACATATGGAGATCTGATGGATGGGAGTGGTTCTGCAGATGAGTGGGAAAAATATGGACTATATTTAAGGTGACACTGGGAAAAAGTGTAATACCATCTTTATCTCACGGCATATACAAAAAGCTCTTCCAGTTAGGTTAAAGATCTAACTAGGAAACGCAAAGGTATATATGAGGTAGAAGACAATATAGAACAATAGCTTTAAGCAATATTTCCTTAATATAAGGTTATAAATCGATAATAAAAAGTAGAATCCATTAAGGAAAAAATAGTCACATTAAAGTTAATTTTTATTAATGAGAAAGTACCATCAAGAATGGGAAAAGACAAACCACATCCTGGGAGAAGATATTTAACCAATAAGAATTGGTTATATGATGAATTCCTATGAACTGATAAAAATGGGCAAAAAGACTGAAATGCAAATTATAACTATAATTCATGCCTAAGCCCCGCTAGACTAGCAAGAATTAATAAACCTAACAAAATTAAGTATCGCCAAGGATGCAAAATGAACTCACAGTGCTGAAGACGGTCCACTTTGGAAACAGCATGTACATACAACTGATGACCCAGCATTATTACTCCTAGAGAGATCCTTGTACACTTATTATGAGAGGTATGTCAAGCAGTGTTCATGACAGTACTGCTTCTGATAGCAAAAGCAAACAACAAAAAACTATGAACAAGCCAAATATCTTTAAACAACAGAGTTAATGAATATTCAGTACATTCATACAGTGGAGTACCAATCAGTAATAAAAATGAATTTGAGATTAACATGAATGAACCTCAAAAATAGAATACTGAATGAAAGTTAGAGAATATATAAGAAATAATATGCATATAAATTCAAAAACAGGCAAAAGTAAACAGTCTTTTCGGCAGAGATACATATACAGTTGGGAAAACTAAGAAAAACAAGTGAAAAATTATCACAGAAATCAGAATGGCTACTATTATGGGGGGTGAGGGTGTGTAATCAAGAAGGGGCACACAGAGGCCTTTCACTGACAATGTTCTTTATCTCACTCCTGGTAGCTGTTTGCTTTATTATTCTTTAAATTACACAATTACATGTTACACACTTTTCTGTATTTATGGTATTTTGCAACAGAAAAAAATTAATTTATCACATTTTCATTTAACTTTTGGTAATAAAATACTTTATTGGTACCATTTAATGTCAAAAACACAGTATGTTTCCATTCTTAGGTTCCCATTTTTAAATTAAAAGTTAGTTTTTTTTTAAAAAAGAGAAAAGGTGAAATCACTGGATTCTGTCAAAAAACAAGCGGCAACTTACCTTTGCAAATAATTAGGTTCTCTCACTTTAAATAACAAATTCACTGGTCTTCATAATAAATAATTGTATATAAAAGGAGACAATGGCCTAATAATTCTTCAGAGAACATTTTACACAACTTAAAAAAAAGCCTAAACTACCCAAAACTTGAAAGAATAATTCATAAGAGTTACTGTAAAATGAATTCATGTAGCACCAAGAAATTTGGAATTTATATTTCAGATGATAGAATTTACTGAGTAAAAAGTAATGACTTTTCTTCTGTGAATTTTCAGGGGTTTATATACACATAGAAAGGATACAATATAGGTCCCTTTTAAAAGCCAAATCAAAATCTATGCGTGCCTTTCACCATATCTCCAATTTTGGGATCTGGCAATTGACCCTCTGGCAAAAGATCCATGTGTGATAAATAACATAGTATACAGTCCCATCTGAATATAACTTCTTATTCACCTTGTCTCATTAACATAATTTATACCTTGATTAAAACATTATTCTATCTGCAAACAATATATTTCTCTAAAATATTCTGTAATTCAGATTTCCATTCAGATCACTTTCCCCTCCACCTCTTTTCACAAATCAGTGTGATCTATGGTATACCTCATTCAATTGTTTTTTCCCTTCATGAAACTCTCTCTCAACTCAAAGTATCACTATATTACAAATACAGATGTAACATATATTAACATATAGGAAAAAAAGGATAATAAATATATATGGATTCAAGCTAAATGAGACAATGCAAAGCAAAAAACACACAAAAGCATGCTATGTTCATCTATTCTGAACCACTATAGGAAGGCCCCGGTAGCACCTGGCTCATGTAAACTGATGTTCCCAGATATCACTAGTGTCCTGTTCTCCAACAGAAGTGTTCTAGTAAAGGCATTTCCATGTTTATTTGTTTACTTAAAACAATCTATAGCAACTTTGATTAATAATCTAGAACACGAGGACACATTAATAGTTTTAATCAAGTCATAGATTCTAACCTGAGTATTTTCTACTATTACTCATTTGTTTAATACCAGACATTCAGGGAGCTAAGCAACATTAAGGGGTTTTAATTTCTGATTTCTTTTGATTGATTGTGAATTTCAGATGTGTCATTTAGTCATCCTCTGCTTCAGTGAAAAAGGATTCTTCAAGCAACTAACTAAAGATCTTACTTTAAAAGCAGGTTGACTCAGCGGTCAGCAGATGAAGAACTCTTGTCAACACAATCCATCCGTAACACTCTGTCCTTTCTGCAGGACTGGATGCTCTTGACCCACCCTGAGCACAACACATTCCATCCCTCAACCCAGATGCAACCAGGGCACATCAGAACGGGTGCAGGGTAGAAACTAACTCAAAACTACTTTTGGGGCGAACAACAGATTTCAATTTGTCAGCAATTCCGAAATACAGTATTCTCACAAAACAGGCTTTGCACTGAAATACTTGCTTTTTCTTTCCATATCGAGTTAAACTGCTGAAGTAAAGTAATGCCAGAAAGAACACAAAAAATAAGCATGTCTTCTCTGAAAGAGGCACTGCATCTGGAATTGGAATTAAGGCTAAAAAAATAGTGCTGGTTTGTGGTTCAGACTAGTATGCCAATGATTACGTTAACCAACAGCTTCACTATTTGTCCTGTATGCCTGTTTGTGAAGATGGGTCTCTATCTCCTCCCTGAAGACCAGCATTCCCAGGTGTGAGTGAGAGGCCTCATTCATGGCTTTGGACTGGATGCACATACGGTACTGCTCAGGGGTCAACTCATCAGCACAGCGTTTCTCATGCCAGAGGTGGAAAAGACCAGGAACTGGAGTCCGAATCACAATCAGGTCACCATGTAAGTATTTTCGATAAAGATGAACATCTTCTCCACCCCAACCTTTTACTTCCATGTCGAATCCACCTGCAGGATAAAAATGGACACTGTACCTAACTGTCTGACAGCTAGAGCACAGTCAGACCTGATAAGGATTAAGATGTTCTGCTTCAAATGAGATGGCATGGTACAGCCTAAAGACACCTGATGTAGAGGACTGACATCCTGGTTTGGAAGTCAGTTAGGAGCAGATATCTAGGAGCACAGGGTCTGTTGTTGCAAGTATCAAAATGAGATTAAATAGTTGAGAGTGCTTTGTAAACGTCAAAGTTATGTAGAAAATCTAGAGAAAATCAAACAAAGGAGAAGGAAATATAAATCACCCATAATCTCACCACTATTAATATTATAATTAACACAATTATCCTTTGAGATGCAAGTTTTTCTAGGTTACAGAAAATTTTCCAGAGGAGAAAAGACAAGAAATAGCTAAGGTGAAAATATACATTTGAGAATGGGCACACAGATGATTTAAAAGCCGTAGGAATGGATGAAATTACTGAAGGAGTTTAAGGAAATAGGGATCAGGTCTAAATGCTAAGTAAGTAAAGGTTAAACATGCAGAGAAAGATAAGTCAGCAAAAGAGACTGAAAAATGGCACCAGAAGATGGAGAACATTCTGGATATTAAGCTATCAGAGTAGTCAAGTGAAGAAAGTGTTTTGAGGAAGAAATGGTCATGCATGTGCTGCTTAATTAAGAACTTAAAAAAGAACCAGGCAGACCTAGAAACAATACATGTTACCTACTAGAACAAGTCTGATGGAGTGATGGGGCAAATGGATAAGTGGAGTGGGTGAACACATGAAACAAGATAAAGTTGAGACTATTTTCACATTGGCTTAAGCTGAACAATAAACATCCGAAAGAAGCATGGAAAACAAACCATTTGGAGTTTTTTGAAGAACTAGAAAAGATTTTTAAAAACTGAGAACAGATTAATTCTTTAATTAGGAGCTAGATTTCCAAATTATGTCTTCTGTCAAATAATTATATGCCACTTAATTTCACACTCAAAGGATGACAATAATCCTGAGATTCCTAAAAAGTATTAAATAGTCACAGCCTTACTAAACACAATGTATAAAATGTCTTGGTTTTTCTTCCTTATAGATAGAAGCTCTTCAAATATTAGAGACGGTGTAGCTACTTAACATAAATGGGAGACTTCCAGTTTCTGGTCCAGCACAAACAGAGCTTACAAGTCAATTTCATCCTACCAAAAAGTAAAAAACCAAACAAACTGAAAAATGAACAACTCTTCTCAGATCCCTTAAAGAAATAAGGTCACAGAGGAAACGGCCACCTCCAAATTGGAGAGACAGGCAGGTAAAACCGAAATTGCAAGTATTAGAGCAGAAACCGACTAGTAGAAATCTCCAGGGGAACCAGTACTGGAGTAAGGAGGGGGTGGAAATGTGAACTGTAAATGATGAAGAGTTGAAAATTTCAGAGGGCCCAGTCATAGGAAGGTCCCCACACTCCTTTAGGAGCTCTAGCAAGTTCTCGCTGTGAAGACTAGAGCAAAATCCCTTAGTGCTTTCAGCAGGGCAATGGGAAAGTAATCATTTTGAAACAAGCCAGAGAGAACACTTTATTCTTAACAAGGCCTGCCCTCAGGAGAAACTATTCTACCAGAGTCAAATCTACCTGGGAGAAGGACATACCCAACTCCAGCCCACTCTAGCCATCCTATTCCACCAAAGGTTGGGGCAGTGTCCAAGAAACACTTGTGAAGTTAAGGGTCCAGACATATAATCTCACTAAAGGACTGAGGCCTAATCACAGGTATATGGAATATATCCTCTTTTCCTACACTTCACCACTGATTACTAAAGGCCTTGCCCAATACATTATGTTTAGCTATGAAGAAAAAAATGAGGCATACTAACTAAAAGACAAAAAAGGATTGAAGACATAGGAGCAAGTATCAGAACCAGACTCAGATATGGCAGAGGTGTTGAAATTATCAGCCTGGGAATTTAAAACAACTGTAATTGATACGCTAAGGCTCTTTTGGAAAAAGTAGACAACATGTAAGAACAGATGGGTAATGTAAGCAGAGTGAGAGATTCTAAGGAATAATAAAAAAGAAATGCTAAAGATAAACAATGTAACAAAGGAAGAGTGTCTTTGTATTGGCTGAGGAAAGAATCTCTGAGCTTGAGGACAAAATAGAAACTTCCAAAAATGAAAAGGCAAACCCAAAGAGGACTGGGGTAAAAACAGATCAAAATAGAATTTCTAAGAACTGTGGGACAACTACAAAAGGTATAACATATGTATAATGGGAATATCAGAAGGAGAGGAAAGGGAGAAAAGAATAGAATCTCCACAATGAAAGAGGCCAAATTCCAAACATGTGCTGAGAGAATAGGGGCTCTCTTTCTCACCCAGCTCACAGTCATAAGGTAGAGGCTCCATTCCAGAAGGAAGTGGGACTGCTCTTCCCCTCCCCCATGTCCTACTCATAAGGTATGGATGTCACTCTGAGAGAACTGTGCCACTGTCTCTACCCCCAGCTCTGGAGGAGAGGCTCAGAGATTTTTTTTTTTTCTGAGGGGGGAGGAGGCAGTGCATGAGAACAAACTGCTTCAAAGCTTTTCCCAAAGGAACTGACTTTACTTGAAAGTGTGCAGAAGTTCAAGCCTAAGGGGGCTCTTGAAAATAATGGAGATTTTTGGTGGTAAGCAATGAAGAGGAGGCTGATAGCTCCATTAGAGCAATAAGCTAAAATGTAGGCCAGTTAGTTTACTGGAGAGAAACAGGGAAAGAGACAGCTAAGAGTCCTCCTGAGGTCTGAACAAAACTCAAAAGATCTGCCTCAAAAACTACCTTGCAAAATGGTTCAATTTAATTGGGCCAGACTGTGGAGCAATTTATGCCCCAGAGCACTATCAAAAACTAGAGAGCAAACCAGTGAGCCATTAGTGGAGCCTAACAGATGGGAGTTACCAACGGAGGCACACAGAGTAAAAGAGAGCTCTACTAAATCCATGTCATCCCATGATGACTGTGCACATGCCCTAAGGAGTAACTTGAGAGGCTTCATATTGCTAGGGGGTGGAGGGAGGGTGGGGAGATAAAATTCATTAGAATAGTAAAGCCAAGTCAATAAACAAACAAGCAGAAAACAGAACAAAAAAACAAGCCCTGGAGGCAGGAGGGAATCAATATCCATATTTGCCACAATATATTACCCAAAATGTTCAGTATGCAAGTAAGAAATTATAAGGCATGTAAAGAAACAGAAAAGTGTGACCCATATGGCAGAAAAAAACACTAGGCAACAGAAACTGTGAGAGGGCCTAGATGTTGGGTTTTTACAAAAATTACAAAACAACCATTATAAATATGTTCAAAGAATTAAAGGAAATCATACTTAAGAGAAAATGACAATGTTTCATCAAATAGAAAATATTAATGGAAAGACAGAAGTCATACATATATGATATATACAGAGAGGGGAGGAGGGGGAGTGTGAGGGCCAAATGGAAATTCTGGAGTTAAAAAAGTACAATTCAAATGAAAAATTCATTAGAGTTGCTCAAAAGAAGATCTGAACTAACAAAGAATCAGCAAACTTGAAGATAGATCAATTGTGACTATGCAATCCAAAGAACAGAGAAAAAAAGAATAATGAAAAATGAACAATCCCAGAGAAATATGGGACACCATTAACTGCACCAACAGAGATCGAACAGGAGTATGAAGAGAAAATAATGAGAAAGGAGCAGTGAGAAGTAACATAGGTTAGAAGGCAATGATGTATACTTGCTGTTTTATTAAGCCAGAAATAAGGGAAAAGGGCATTAGTTTCATTTAATAGTCTTCTTATTGCTATCTGCTGATTTTCCATGATTCAAATGTTACAATAATAAAGAGACAAGGTGGAGGAATTTCCAAAATAAATGGATGGTTATAAAAATGAATGTAAGACAGACCTAAAAAGTACATAAAATATATTCCATTATAAAATATATAATATATAAATATATGTGTGTATGTGTGTATGTGTATACACACATAAATACATAAAATATATTCTTATATGCTATGGAAATGTAGCCACTGACTGATTAGGGACATGGAATCAAGTTTCAGTCTGCTTTATTTTATTTTTTATTTTGAAAGAGAGAGAGAGAGAGAGAAAGCAAGCATGCACAGGAGGGGCAGAGAGAGGGGGAGAGACAGAATCCCAATCAGGCTTTGAGCTGTCAGCTAGGAGCCTGATGTGGGGCTCAAATCCACGAAGTGAAGATCATGATCTGAGCTGAAATCAAGAGTGTGAGATGATTAACTAACTGGGCCACCCAAGTGCCCCTTCAGCCTGCTTTCTTAAACTGTACTCTGACAATCTATTTTTTGCTGGGTAAGGCTGAAGCCAGAGTGGGACAGGGTGCTTAGACCAGATTCTTCAGGGTCATCTTTGGCTTCAAGGAGTGCATGATTAAGCCAGTGATTACAAGTCCCCCACTCCAACTTCAATCAGAGCTAGAAAGATTTTGAATACTAGGATTTTCATAAGAGTTAACAGATAATTAAAGAGGGATTTCATCTCTAAATAAAAAAATGTGAAAGCCCTTGGACTAGATAATCTAATATTACTTCCAGATGTAATAATCCATGAGCACAACACCGAAGTTATGTAGAGATCTTTTGTAAGAGCATTCAAAACAACTACAAATATTGGTAACAACACAAACTGATGTTTTTAAAAACGAGTGTTTGATTTTAAAGAAACAAGTAAATATTCCTTTACACTTTCATCTTTATGATCTCATTTTTTTTCATTCAGAAACATTAATTATAAACTTTGCCTTTCACATCTCCATACTCCTCTTTTTAGGCAATCTCAGACATTCATAACTTAATAGGAAAACGCTCGATTCTCAGACCTTCAGAAAATGCTGCAAGACTCTGTAGTAAACATGTATAGTTCTATTCTTAAATGTAAGGCATACTTACCAATGGTTAGGAAATCTGATCGATACTGACAAGTCATTCCAAAGCCAAAGTCTCGCCAAAAGCCAGAATCCTTTTTGTGGACCTTTGGTTAAAAAAAAGAAATTCAATTTAATCCCTCAAGATCTAGGTTTCAATCAACAATGAAAAAACTTGAGATACTTTCCAAATAATAATTCTTCCTGTCACTTATGTGACTGAAAATGGATCACATGCATTTATATTATTAAATCCTTAAAAAACCAACAAAAAATAGTACCCTACATGAGCAAAGGATTCTTGCTATATCCAGTTTACTTGAATTCAAGCCCTGTACAACATGCAAGCTGAAGTTTCTAATAATCAAACAGTGTGGTGCCTGAGCTCAAGGAGCTTCTGTAATACATTTTGTAATACATTTACTTCTACACAGTAGACCTTAGTTGGTGCCTACCCAGCATTTATTCCCTTGCCTCTTTCCTGACTGTGTACAGTTTTGCTCTAGTAATTATCTGGCCCCAAGTAGCCCATGAGGTTCAGGGAAGCTCCTTCCACCTGCAGCTTCAGACTGGGCCATGACTACTCTTATACCAGCGGCACACTGTCACCCCATTAATTGTAAGAATTGGTTCACTAACAGGAATTAGACAAAATTCAGGGCAACATGGCAAAAGGAGAGGGTTGTTGAGAACTCTCGAAGAGTTCTTTCCTCCAAGCTCCCTTCAATCCTCCGAGAGAGCTACTAGGAAAGACACTTGTTTTTTGTTTTTGTTTTTGGATGGTATAGGGCAGGAGTCAACAAATTACAGCCTTCAGGCTAAATCTGGCCTGCTGCCTGTTTCTGAAAATAATTTTACTGGAATATAGCCACACTCGTTTGTTTACAAACTATCTATGCATATTTTCATGGTACAGTGGCATAGCTGAGTAGTCGCAACAGGAATTTAACTGTACGGTCCACAAAGCCTAAGATATTGTCTGCGTGGCACTCTACGGAATAAGTTTGACAATGCCTCAAGTAGGGTTAGATGTGAAGCCTGGAACTGCTGCAGTCCTTTTCTACCACAAGGGAGACCAGCTTTAAAATGAAGCTGTCACCACTGAAGTCCAAGCAAAGAAAGAGAAAGAAAACGAAAACCAGGGCTTTGATGATATAGAGCCCCCAGAATCAAGTAAACATTGAAGCTTGATAAACCTTCATTTTATTCATGCATTCAACAAGTGTTTTAATCCATTAGACACAGCACTGGGAGCTGGGACACAGCAGTATGAATAGAAATAACAAGGTCTCTACCATCACAGAGCCTCTGTTTTGATGGAAAGATAGCGAATCTGTATCTCAGGTAGGAAGAAAAATGCAGTAGGACAAGGGGAGAACATGAGAGAGAGAAAGTGTATTTTGGATATAATGGCCATAAGAGGCCTCTCTGAGGAGATAATGTTTGAGTAGGGACTGTAATGAAATACTGAGGTGAGCTGTGCAAATATCTAAAGGAGATCATTCCAGCAAAGGGGGTAACATGTACAATGGCTCTGAGGAAGGAAGGGAATGACTGGGGCAAGAAAAGAGAAAACAAGGACAAAAGCAGAAGAATGAGGCCCTGCAGACAAGAAAGGGCTATTAACATTTTAAAAAGATAATTGATATTACAGTATTTTTATAAGTATATGGTAATGATCTAGATGAGGCATAATGTTAGGATAGGAGAGAATGAAGGATGGTGGGAAGGGAGTCCTTGTTTAGGCATGAGGGATGAGCTCTAGTTCAACAGAAAAGGACAGGCTGGCCTCGAGGGGTCATGGACAGTTCATCCACTGGGAACTGAGAGAGGCGAGGGATCTTATGACAGAGTAAAGAAGAATGTCTGACCACTCCTCTAAGTTAAATATGAAGCAAGATATGTAGAGAGGGAGGAGTGGTGAGGGATGCTGGGAGGCACGAGAAGGACAGAGTGAGTGGCTTGAAAGAGAGACAGCAGGTAGACTATGGTCAAGTGCAGAACATCAGGGCAGCCATGGAACCCTAAGGCCTATGGTCATATATTTAAAGCAATGGCCCTATAGTGGGGCTGCGTTTCCTGCCCTCCACATTCCACTGCTCAGGGGTCTGGATGAGAGTTGCCCTTAACCAAAGAGAAAACATTGGAAGGAGTGAGTGATGAAGGAGGTGAGTACAGCAAGGAGGCTGTGGATGACTGACTATGGAATCTGAGTTGGGTAAGGAGAGATGTAAGGGTATGGACATGAAGATGAAAGAAAAGAAAGAGGCATCTCATCCAAAGTGTAGGGTTCTGAGACAGCTTTCTCAAAGAAATGAAGTGGGAGCTGGGATCTGAGAGAGAATCGGAGTTAGCCAAGTGAAAGATGTGCTGGGGGAAAGTTCCAGACAAAAGAACAGGTTGTGCAAAGATCTAGAGATGGGAGAGAGCACTGTGGATGAGGGATGGTGGGACCACATTGGAGATGCAAGTAGAGGTGCCCACAAATTTAGGCCAGGGCTCAGCAAACTTTTGCAACACACGGGCAGTAAATATTTTGGGGTCTGCAGAACAAGAGTCTGTCACAACTGCTCAACTTTGCCACTGTAGTGTGAAAGCTGTCATTGACAATAAGTAACCAAACGAGCATGCTGTGTTCCAATAAACTTTATTTATGGCTACTGAAATTTATGTTTCATATAATTTTCATCTGCCATGAAGTATTATTTTAAAAATATTTTTCAACCACTCTTCACTCATGGGCCATAGAAAATTAGGTAGCAGGTTGTTTTGGGCAGCAGGTTGTAGACTGCTGACCCCTGGTTTAAGGAGCCACAGGCCACATCAGGGAGAATGGGGTCTCTGGTCACATGTTTTGGCTTTTTTCTAACGGTAATGGAAATTTCATTGAAAAGTCAGGGCAGAAGGAGTAATGGGATCAGATGACATTTTTGAAAGACCACTCTGGCTACAGTGTAGAGATATAAAAGGAGACAAGAAGGGAGGCTGGTTAAGAGGCAATATATAATCTAGGAATAGGAAGCCTAGTTTTAGATTATCATGGTATGTTCTGGAAGACAAAACTGCATGGAGGTAAAAAAGATTGAGGACAAACTGACAGAAGTCAGCAAGTGACTGAATGGGCAAGAGTAAGGGTGAGAGGGAAAGATCAACCAAGTGTAACAGCAGGCTGCCGCCCTGGACAATGCATACGTGGTAGTACCATCCCCCAAGACTGGGGGCACTCGGCAAAGGGCCGGCCCAGAGCAGAACATCGCAGAGCTGGGCTCTGGACAGAATGAATGGGAATGATCTATGAGGCAGCCACATGGGAATTACTGCAGATAGCAAAAATGAAGGGAATATACAGGTCTATAGGGGAGGCAAATCTGGAGGGAGTGAGGAGAGTCTGAAAAAGCTGCTGTGTGGAATAGGAGAATTGGCTGGAAAACAGAAAAAGGCAGCAACTGAGGACTCAACTTAAGTTGGAGCTAAAAAGTGAGGTATGCATTTTCCTTTTCTTTTTTTTTTTTTTTTTTGCAGGAGAGGGCTTCTTCCCCTTCTAGAACGTAAAGCTTCTAGAGAGAGCAGCACTTTTTGTCAATTTTGATCACTGCTATATCTGTAGCAGTTAGAACAATGTGAGAGGTACATGGTAGGCTCTCAATAAACATTTGTTAGATGAATAAATTTATAGAGGCATAATTTCTGTGGCAAAACCAGGCTCTCATATTATCTCCTTAGGACAAAAGTATTAAAACCTCCACTTTGACATTTCTACTCCATGACAATTCTGATTTTACAAATATTATGACTTCCTTTATAACTTCTTTTTAAAAATCTCCAAATATCACCAGATTTTAGGAAAGAAATCATCGGTTTTGTTTGATTTTTAAACCAACCTATTTCCACTGTTCCTAATCCCTGATTATTAGTATTTTATTTTTATCTGTCCCTCTCCTAAGCATGTGGGGGATATAGCTATCCACATATAACTTGCTACATCTCCAGCCCTCAGCGCCTCACAGGCTGCCAGGTTCATGAGTCCATGTGGCAACCTGACTGCCACCTTCCCTTGAGGGTCTAATCAACCACCACGCTCAGGTTGAACTCCCAATCTCTCTTCTTGCCATTCTTGTCTTTTTCTTACTCCTCACATTTTATCCAACAACTTCTGTCACCCAAATCACACCCAAACCGTTCTCCACAATTACTATCCTTACCCAAGCCACAGTCACCTCCCTGGTTTGCTGCAAAAGCCCAACCGGCTATTTGCAGCAGGAGCCACACACAATCCATTCTCCATAGACTCAAAACCCTCCCAAGGCTTTCTACCACACTTAGCCTAAACTCCTTATAGGAGTGTTGACAAGCTCTACATGACTGGCTGGGCTTTGTGCCCTATTGCCCACTGTGCTCCAGCCACCTTAGGAAATCCACTAGCGGCTCCTTTTGCCTGGAACTGCCTTTTCCCAGTCACTGGGTAGCAGATTCCTTCCTATTACTTGGATGGCCTCTCCAACAGCCCAATCTCAGAAAGGTCTTTTTGACCAAGCACACCATAGAAACCACCTAATCACTCTTCACAACTCAGCCTATTTTAATGATGTATGATATTTAATGATTTTATCTTCTGTCTCTTCCTACCAGAATAAATATTCTTGTGAATGGTAACCATGTCTTTCTGGTTCCAGGTGCTGGGGGTTCCAGCAGTGACTAATGGCTGGTATAGAACAAACCCTACTGGATGAATTAATATAACAGAGGCAGTTTGTGCAGTGGATAAGAGTGGAGACACACTGCCCAGGCTCCTGGCCCCACCCCTGCCAGGCACTCGGGCAGGCACTCAGTCACCATATAGCTGTGTCCTTCTCTGTAAAACAGCGGTAAAAACAGCACCTACTTCAGAGGTTGTAAGGAGGATTAAATGAGTTAACATGTATGAAAAACAGAACAGTACCTTACACAGAGAAAAGGGTACATAAAAAAACAGCCATTATTACATTAAAATATCATCTAAAAAAGATATACCATATCTTATACCAATAAAAAAACCTTTATTTTTAAGTAGTCTCTACACCCAACGTAGGGCTCGAACTCATGACCCTGAGACCAAGAGTCACATGCT